GACACCCAGTACTTGGCGTAAGAAAAAGCCAGTCCCTGGCAGCGTTTGGGGGGCATTCCTACAGCAGAGAGCGCTTTCCCCGGCAGTGCTCAGACAGTGCCATGCTGTGGGCAGTGACATCACCCTGATAAAATCTGCAGTCCGATGGGGTAAGACTCAGGCAGTTCCTGCCTTCACACGCGAGAAAAATGAAGCAGAGATAAAAATCCCCAAAGGCCCTGACTGGCTGAAACTGATACAGGACATCAAAGCTGCATTTGAAACAAGTGCCAGGCCCGGCAGCGTTCCCACTGGCACCCCGATCTGCCCTCGCGGGGCCAGGGCAGGGCCCTCGGGCGGCCTCCGGCGTCCCTCCCGGCTGCTTTAGCAGAAGGGACTGTGTGGAAGTCTCATGTCATGGACACAGAACTGGAGCAGCCCCAAATGATTCGGGTTTTTCTATTAACTTTTATAATCTTCCCATCAAGGAACCGGTTCAGCCTGGCCGGTTTGGTTCAGTGGTCAGAGCGTCGGCCCGCGCACGGAAGGGGCTCGGGCTCGATTCTGGCCAAGGCCATGTGTGCCTGGGTTGCGGGTTCGATCCCTGGCCCTGGCCGGGGCACCTTCGGGAGGCAACCAATCCGTGTGTCTCTCTCACGGTGATGTTTTTCTCTCTCTCTCTCCACCCCCTCCTTTCTTCCCTCCCTTCCACTCTCCCTAAAAAGCAATGGAAAAAATATTCTCAGGTGAGTATTGAAAAAAACATACGCAGGACACTCAAATGCGCAACCATTTGTGGAACCGATTATAAGGAGCCCTAAGCATTAGCAGCAGGTCTCAGGAGACTTACCTATAAGCACAGAGAAAAAAATAACAGAAACATTTTCTGCATGTCTGCGCAGACGAAACCACCAACGATTTAAAGTCATCCTACAGACATCACTCGCATGCACTGCAACGAAAAACCTTTCTGCCCGTCTCAACTTGACCTAGACTATGAAACATTCTCACGTAATTAGAGATTCATCCGATTAGCAGCTCACGCTGTACCTGACGCCTAAATCTGAGCAGAAGCCTCTTCTCCCCAAACGAAACAATTCTGACCTACACGGCTTTTTCTCTCCCGATTTTAATAAAAATCAAGACTGGCTTCATCGCAAGAAAGATATTTATAACGATGTGTGGTGACGGATGTTAACCACGCTTATTTGTTATCAATTTGCCATAGGCACATACATCATATGATTATGTTCTACACCTGAAACTAACATACGTCAATTACATCTCAATTTTAAAAAAGCCATAACGGAGATGACCCCAAACAAGTCAGGGTGTCTCTCCAGCATAAATCTCTAGCTCTACTCTGTTTTAACAAGAAAACAGACACAGCAGCCACGGGCCGTAATCCCCCAAAATGCTCAAAAGAGAAACTTGCCCCCCGAACAAACGGAAACTTGGCCGTTAAACAAATGACCTCAGGCCACCCTCTCAAAGCGCCGGGTTGTGCCAACGCCCAGCAGCGTCCGCACTAAGACACACACAGTCCTTCAGAATAAACACGGTTCTGCCCCTGGGAAGAGCCCTGGAAAGGGGACGGGCGGG